CAAATAACGCTGCGTTACTCGTTACAAAAGCTATGAAAAATAAACGCATCTCGTTAGTAGTTACTGGTAACGAGTAACGCATGCGTTACTCGTTATCAGTAACGCAATAACGCATGCGTTACTCGTTGTCAGTAACACAATAACGCATGCGTTACCCGTTCCCAGTAACGCAATAATGCAGGCGTTACTGCGTTACCTGTAAAGAAACGGTAAAGCGCCACCCCTATAAAATACTTATGTTTTTTCTGTGGATTACAAGGCATTCCATTGTTCGCACGAACATTTTTATTGGCTCGTCCTGATCTAAACGATCTTCGTTCACCAATCACTGGCAATGGTACAGAAGGTCCATTTACAAGAAGTGCTGGTTTTTTATCCTATTTTGAGGTAAATGTTATTCTTGACTATTACATATTTTCTTTTTATATGTGATCGTACATAATCAGGTATGCCTGTTACAATCCGATAGTGATTGGAAAATACGTTCGGTAGTGCCTGGTGCAGAATCTCAATATATGTTCAAGGATAAGGAATGGATATCATTTGATACAATTGAAAGTGTGCGGAAGCGAGCCGCATATGTCGTCGCAAATTCTCTGGGTGGTATGTTTGTATGGAGTTTAGATATGGATGATTTCAACGGTAGTTTCTGTCACAAGGGACCATATCCATACATTAAAAACTCATTATCCTTATTACCGTCGACATTAGTATCATACGCATAAATATCGTTTCTGTTAGATCTCATATTGAGATGTTTTTTTTAATAATCTTGTTTTGACAGTGTGTAAATTTTCCTGACACTTACATTGTTGGTATTGTTGTACGAATATTAAGAATAAAGAAAAAGTATTAATAAAAGATACCTATCTTTTCAAGTAATTTTTTTCACATTTGATGCTGTCAGCACTACATCTCTTATAGCATAGCATACAGCGTCAATTCCTACTTAATCTTTTGATGAATATTCGAACCATTCCATTTTTTTTCCTTCTTGAGAGTTGGTATGCACTGTGTTCCACAAAAATCCATTCAACGGAGTCTCTGCAGCAGAATGTATACCACCCGTTTTTCTTTTAGACATTACATCTAGAACGTACCGCAGCGGGAACACTACTGAATAAAATACCTGACTATTAAATGAATATCACCACAACATCATTTTGGAAAAAATGTTGGCGAATATTTTTTTTGATAAAACGATGGCAAGTATACAGCGGCCGCGGCGCATCCCAGGGGGGGGGGCAAATGGGCAATTGCCCATTTCATTTGGGGATTTGCCCATTGTAATTTTTATTAGTAAGTTTTTGCCCATTGAAATTTTACTTAGCAGATATACCCAGGCGGTTTCTTTTTGAATAACCCTTAGAAAGATATTTGTAAGAGTGCCTATAGATAGAACTGTTTCTTTATTTTTGAATTAGAATCTAATTCAAAAATTAAAAGAATCTCATTTCATTTTTTTTTGTTCTTTTTGGACCAAAAATCTTTTGGCCCATCGACAAAAACCTTGCCCATTTTGCCCATCGTTTTTTTCCGCTACAATAGAAGTTTGCCCATTGTACTAAAAATCCTGGTTACGCCGCTGGTTGATTGTGAGAAGCTAAAGCGCGAAATTCATACGAGAATTTATGTGATTGTAAGATCTGCAAGAAGGAAGACGACATATCCTTTAGCAGCATTGAGATTGTTAGAAGAAGAAAAAAGTTTTGCTTTTGATCTGAAGTGTGTTTCCTCCCTGGATCAGATCGCAGTCGAATAGCAGATTTCACGTAACCTTTGGTGCTCCACTTAGCTGCCTGAAAACGTTCCAGGTTTTTGTGAATGACAGTAAACGTCTTCTACTTCGTTACGATGAAAGTGCCCAGGATTACGATGTTGTAGTTTTTCAATCCAAAAAATCTAAGAAAATGCAGTCTAAAAAAGTTCTAGCTGTAAGCAGCGGTTTTTTCTTGAGAGCGGTTGACTCGTTTCTAAACAATGCCGGTCGTACCGACATTTGTGAGCTATATGAACTAATACAGGATTATTTAAAAGATATCAAAATTAGTCATGATATTGAATTCATTGAAGAATCACTCAAAGCAGAGATCCTTGAAAAGTTTGCGATTGAAAAAAATCGTTCATCATTGCTTCGGGATCATTTTTTGTACTCGTTTTCTGTGCGCCTAAGTGAACAAAATAACAGAAATAATGATAAATTTGATAGCGTTGCTTCTTATCGACTTCTCGGCACACAGGGTAGAGCTGCAAAAAGAAATATAGACATGATTGAGTATTTTTCAGATGATTCCACCGATTCGGGAAAAGAATAAATAAACGTTGGAAGGAGCACATTGATGAGAGAAAAGAGAAGTTCATGGAACTGAAAGATACCTTCAATTTGACGGACGCGAGCAAAGCTGCAATCGGACAGTATCTAAGAAAATACAAAACACTTTTTTCCTGGCGTCAGACCCGTCAACTGAGGAAAAAGCTCAATACAAAATTTCCGATAAATGTCACAGAATCGGGTGATGCTGCATACGTCGACTTTGCCTATGCAATTAAGACTGCTATCTATGTGGCTGAGTCATCGTTGAAAAAGCAAGACCCGCCAAAAAACCTAAACAAACTGGAAAAGCTAACCTTTCGCATTAGCATGGACGGGATCCTAGTTGGGAATAAACATATCATCGCTATGTGGGTGAATAGTG